AAGGTGGTCACATGACACTTTATTGTAACATCCAAATGTGTATTTAAAAATCCCTGAGTGAAGCTGCATTGGAGGAAACACGAATCCAAACAGCAAGAGTTGGAGTCCTTCCCAAGGGACTTCCTTCCTACACTGCATTAGAGAAGAGCAGAGTTCTTAAGAACTCAGAGAACTACTGTATTTGTAAATGGGGATTGTCCAGCTCAGACCCTAGATCTTTCAGGACTCCATTCTAATTATCTGTCTAATTGGTTTAACACTAGGCAACTACATTCACATGGTTTACTCATTGCCTACTTATAGCCAAATGTGCCAAAAGACTGAGGGGAGTGTCCTAGGAGAGACTGAGCACCTGGCCATCCTACACTTACCCACTCTTAACCTCTTCAATCCTTTGGCAAAGCTCTCAGGGTGCTGTTAGTATCTGGTGACTAACTATGCTCCATTTGTTTGGGCTAATAATAATAATAACTTGACACTTAGGGAGGGCAGACACTTTTTATTTTAACACAGGATTCCTAGAAGTCTAGCATATTATCTTAAAAAAAAAAAAACAAATTTCTAAGGTTAGGATCAGAGGACACCAAAGCATTTATTTGTTTGTCCCAAATCAGATTGTAGAGGTAACTCAGGATGAACATGGAGCCTTCTGCTCTCCTTACTTCCTGAAGCTGAATTCCTCACTTGCTGTCCCAAAGTAACTACTGACTCAATAGACCCAAGGCTGAGGAGCTTCATTTGCCTGGCATAAACCATCTACAAAGTAGAGCATGAATCACATTGATCATGCAAGAGGAACAGAGCAAACCTCTCAGCTTGCAGATTGAATCCATCTGCTTTTTCAACTGCAGCAAAGCAAAGGAAGTCCTCTCTTTCACTCTCTCTGCATGCCTAGCAGACATTTACCTAACCCTCAGTCTATAAACTAAATATTCACTAGACTCATACTAACTAGGATGTCATTGTTAATTTCAGCTTAGTATTCTCAGGGAAAGATAAACTGTATGCCTCTATAATTCTGAGGTCAATATCAGGAGGTTCAGTGACCAGTTCTTACATCAGTCATCCCTTGGTACCCCTATCAGTGCCATAATTTTGGATTGGAAGGACCATACGCAGACCTGGATGGTCACTCTGAAGGTGCATTCACCCTATGGGGAGGAAAAAAAATCACTGAAAGCATCAAAGTAGTGAAAGACAGATTGCTCAGGAAAGGAGAAGGAGTAGTAAATTGATCAGTTGGATACTTTTGATTGAATCTAATAATATATATAATTGAATATACATATATATATATATGTGACAATAATTTGCTAGGCAGGCAAAAAAACAAGTTATAGAAGGGCAGAGCTTCTAAAAGGCAGGAGAATTTGTTGCAAGAATTTTGGATGAATTCATATACCATAAGGCAGTATTGCATTTTTAGCACCTTTCTCAAGAGGGAAAAGAAAAATAACATTCTGTAACTCTATATCAAGGGAGTTTAGGAAGGATTGAATTACAATAAATGAATTTACATGAGGAATCATTTTCATCAAACATGAATGTTTAAGATGAAAAATAAGACATTATGCACCCAAGCTTCTTTAAAATAGTCCTGTTAGGATGTGAATTTTAGGATCTGATAATTTATGACTGTCACCAGCCCCTGGCCTGTCACCTGTATCTTCTCCATGCCAATCTATTCAAAAGAAGGAACTGCTCATTCCCAAATGTGTAGAATTTACATTTTATCTACTCTCTCATTCCAAGTCCAGCAGTATGGGCAGAAAAGACTGTCAGTCTGAAATATGCTCAAAGGGCCTATGTGAGCTCTGCAGGAGGCCTGACCTGCAAGGTGTGCTTTGAGCAGTGCTGACAGAGCTCCCCAGTACCACCACCACTCCATACTGCCCCACAGGCCAACACAGAGCCTGGAAAGGCATCCTCTTTTTTTTTTAATTCTAGCATTGATGCTAAGATCTTTGTTAGCACATACAAATACCCTTTTTGGATCAATCATGTATCAAATTAATATTCTCCACAAAAGTCGATCACTGATTAGTTACTAAATAGCAATCATAAACAACGTGACAAGAAGCACATATGCATAACCCATGGACATGGACAACGGTGTGGGATTGCCTGAAGGTGGAGGCTGGGTAGAGGCAGGCAAAGGGGGAAAAAGTGGGGACAGCTGTAATAGCATAAACAATAAAATGCAATTAAAATCGATAAAAATCAACTTTGCCAAAAAAAAGAATGTGACAAGGAAAAGATAAGTTTGTGGAGGAGGATATTGGGAAAAGTATCAAAAGATCCTTTACAAACATAGCTGGTCAACAGTCATTTGCCAGACTTGTTCAAAATACAAAATCCTGTTCCCTGCTTTGTGAAAAGCTGATTCTTTAGCTTTGGAGTTGGTACAAGGATATGTATTTCTAACAGATGTTCCAGGTGATTCTGATGATCAGCGTGGCTTAGAAGCTGCTGCAGGTCAGTCCTACAAAGGTCTCAACAGTGGTGAGGCCCAGGCAGCCATGGGACAGCACCTAGAGAGTGGACACACTGGGAAGACCAATTCCTCCTCTTCATTACAGTAGGGCAAAGGCATAAACACAAACAACTAATGACAAGAAAGGAATCAAACCACCAACCTCATTATAAAATTCTGAGGTACAGGGGAAAGCCCATCCACAAGCCTAATCAGCAAATGGAGATTACAAGAATGATGGGCAAGCACTGTCTTTGATATGTCTTAGCCTTTTCACCTAGGCAATGAGATCCAACAGAAGTTAATCTCTCACCAATATCACCAATCAAATAAGTGATTCTTCTTCCTGGTTGAAAGACTAAGTAAAGAGCTTATAGGGAGAGACAGAAATGTCACCCCAGCACCACCCCTGCCCTGCAGGGAAGAAAGTGGATTGATTTCTCCTTCTAGGGAAACATGAATTAACAGCATACAATTCTCTCTAACAAAGACAGTCAGAGTTTATCTTTATAATACATCTTCAATCATATTGGCCCAGCATTCTGATTCCGATGGACATAACAAGAGGACAAAAAGTGGTGAACAAGCTTGGCTTTCTCCTTGATCATATCCGAAGTATATTAAAGATTTACACACCAAACACAAGTCAGAATAAAAGTAAATTTCTCTGGGTCAAGAGGAAGGTATAGGTAAATGCAGTACTCACATTCTCCCACAACCAAATCAAAGTTACAACTAAACTACAGAAAAAAACATTATTCAGAACTTCCTGAAATCTAACTGAATGGAGGTCCTATAATTAAGGATGTAAAGAAGCCACATAGAGACTGATAGGAGGTCCAGAGACACAGAACAGGCTGGTCCCACACCCATGTGTGTTAGATAAAAATGGGGAGAGGAATCTCCTCTGTGAAGGCCCCTCTAAAGAGCTAGGGGTCCCGGTCCCACACCAGGCCCCCCAGCCCAGAGTTCCAGTGCCAGGAAGAGAAGACCCTATAACTCTGGCTGTAAAAATCAACAAATATTGTGGCTAAGTAAGATGGTGAAGCTTCTGGAGTCCCAGGCATTCCTCTTAAAGGGTCTTTGCACACAGGCAAACTGGGACTCACATCCTCCGAGCACCAGTGGTGACTGAGGCAGCAGCTCAAAAGGCACCACCTGTGGGGAGGAACTGAATCCTCTGGCATCAGGGTGAGAGTTGGAGAGGCAGAACTGCTGGCAGAGGCCTTTGTTCCTTTTCTGAGCCTTCACTCCACAGAGCTAGCAAGTAGGCACAATATCTAAGTCTACATCAACCTGGCTAACCCTTTCACCCCACCCTGGTGATTCCCTGACACCCAACCCCACCCAACTTTCAGGCCCATCCAAGCTGTTTCCAGTGGTCTTTCCATAAAATAGCCTGTCTTGGCTCATGCTTCAGAATTTCCTAAAATCTCTCAAATGAGCAGTATTTGGCCTCAGCATGCCCTATACCTCTTGCTAAATGGCCCAAGCCTGACATTAGTGGGCCTGGTTTAAAAGGTAGCTTCTCCTAGGCACCTCCAAGCATAGCACAAGCAGCAGCCATCTGCAGATCACTTTGTAGCTCACACCAGGAGGCCCAGGGCAGATCGCAGGTGGCAGCTGACCTTGGCTTAAACTTCCCAGGTGGTTCCAGAGCCAGCACACCCAGAGGATAACTTGAGACAATGTCAAAACACCACCCCACCACCTCCACAAGCAATACATTCAAGGGGTAGACTCATCAGACACCAGAGACCTGTTGAAACTTGTTGAAGTAAGTTCTGCTCTGTGGGTTGGGGGTGATCCTCCAACGTGGTCCCAGCTAGTCCTCACAGCCAGTCCATCTGGGGGCAAATTCCTTCCATTGATGTGCTGACAGCAATCTAATCTTAACTACAACAGGAGCATTCACACAACCCATGAAGGGGTGGAGGTGGAAACACAACTGTAGTGCCCAGCTCTGGTGAACAGGGAGGCTGTGCCACTGGACCCTACCAGACACCTACTATATCAGGCCACTCTACCAAGCCCAGGAGATAGTAGTAGTAGTAGTGCTACCTAATATATAGAAACAAACACAGGGAAGAAGTTAAAATGAGGATACAAAGAAACAGGTCCCAAGTGAAAGAACAAGACAAAGAACTAAATGAAATGGAGGCAGGCCAAACTAACAGATACAGAGTTCAAAACAATGATTATAAGGATATTCGAGGAACTTAGAGAAAACTTCAACAGCATAAAAAAAGACATGGAAACCATGAAAAAGACCCAATAAGAAGTGAAGAATATACTCAATGAAATAAAGAATAATTTACAGTGAATCAACAGTAGAACAGGTGAAGCCAAGAATCAAATCAGTGATTTGGAATATAAGGAAGCAAAAGCACCCAATAAGAGCAGCAAAAAGAAAAAAGAATAAAAAGAAAAAATGAAGACAGTGTAAGGATCCTCTGGGACAACCTCAATTGTACCAATAATCACATCAAGGGGGTGCTGGAAAGAGAAGAGAGAGGTCAAGAAATTAAAAACCTGCTTGATTACAGTGCTTCATTTTATGGAAGTACTGCCATTATCCTGTTGAAAAAAAAAATCTTGTGTTGATCATTTTCTATTTTGCCTTCATGAGGGTAAAATTGTGATGGACTAACATGGACAATTCTGAGAAAAAAGAGGAAAAAAAACACTGTTTGAAAAAATAATGACAGAAAACTTCTCTATTTTCCTGGTAAAAGAAATAGACATACAAGTCCAGAAAGCAGAGAGTCCAAAACAAGATGAACCCAAAGAAGCTCACATCAAGACACAGTTAAAGACAAAGAAAAAAATCTTAAAAGCAGCAAGTAAAAAGCAATTAGTTACCTACAAGGGAGCTCCAATAAGTCTGTCAGCTGATTTCTCAACAGAAACTTTGCAGGACAGAAAGGATTGGCAAGGAATATTCAAAGAGATGAAAAGAAAGGACCTACAACTAAGATTACCCAGTTAAGTTATCATTTAGAATCAAAGGACAGATAAAGAGCTTTCCAGACAAAACTAAAGGAGTTCATAGCCACAAAACCAGTATTACATGAAATGTTAAAGGGCTTTATTTAAGAAGAAAGAAAAAATAAAAATATATAAACAATAAAATGGCAACAATACATATCTATCAACAATTGAATCTAAAAGTCAACATAAATGAACAAGCAGAACAGAAACAGACTCATAAATATGGAGAACATTTGGACAGTTGCCAGATAGGAGGGGGGTTGGGAGGATGGGTGGAAAAGGTGAAGGGATTAAGAAGTACAAATTGGAGGTTACAGAATAGTCATGAGGATGTTAAGTCAATATATTCTAATACATACATATGTTGTCAGATGGGTATGAGCTGATCACTTTGTAAGTTATATGATGTCTAATCACTGGGTATACACCTGAAACTAATATAATATTGTCTATCAGCTGTAATTTAAAAAATGTTTAAATTCTTTTTAAAAAATAAATAAAAAGTAAAAGTGAAAATAACAAAACAAAGTTGATATGTTCAGTTGGCATCTTTCATCCAGGAGTTTTAGAAAATGTTCAGACACTTTATCCCAGGTGAACTTAAAGTTCCTTCCCCCACTCCCTATGAATAAAGCTCAATCTTGCCTAAGTGGGCACACCCAGCTCCAACACAGGACAAACCCAATTCCCGTATCACAGTGTCAGACCTGCTCCTTCCTTTTTTGTGTGTGCCTGTGTCTTAATGGTAGTATTTTATGATTCAGCTCAATGCATTTGATGGGAAGATAAAACAAAAATAATGTACTACTAAATACAAAACCCTGAGGTGCACCAAGGTAAGCACTGAGTTGCCTGTAAATTAACATGGGAATGTTTTCTTGGAGAGAATGAAGGTGCTGAAAAATGTTCACCTGGTTTAAAAATGGGGCAGGCTCTGACAAATGTGCTTGGAAATGATTTTGAAGACATGCAAGTGCCTCTCCAGTTATCATTCCCCCTGTCCCAATAATGTCTCAGTGATTTTTTTTTAATGCATGTCACCGTGGTGATTTATCAGACACACTAGATGTCTCTTCCACCTAAACCAAACTGAATATCAGTCATGTTTAAAAAAACAAAACTTCCCAACCTCTTTGACATATGCAAACATTTATGAAGACAGGCACATTATAAACTTCCAGATTTCTCTTTTCCCCTATAACTATCTTCCTTCATCCTCACTCTGAGAGCACCTGTCTAAATCCTCAGCATGTCAGTCGGTAGACACAGCCTCCTAGGCACTAGCAAGCTGCGCCCTCAGTGAAGTGATGAATCTGGACTCAAGAGTCCAACGTATTTATTCAATGAAGCTTTCAATTAAAAACCAACAAGAAAGCCCAAGATGAACTCAAATATTGGAGAAATGAGAAAACTGGCATGTGTTAAACAAATATTTATAATGCAAAATGTGCTGTGTGACAACCGAATGGAAATCTAAATGCTGGAAGGAACACCAGTGGCAAGTGACTTCAAAAGAAAAGAAAAGCCATCTTTTCTTTGGGGAAAAAAAGTTTTAAAGGAGAAAGCGGCAATTTGCCTCTGTTCTACTGCCTAATAATATTTGTTCATGAAAATATTTCAATGGTTTGAACCTCTCAAGAGGTAACAAAATAGAATTTTTATTTGATCCAGGGTATATTTTTGGTGTTTTACAGCATTGGATTTTGACTATATTTAAGCTCAGGTCCAGTTCAAACTGGTTCCCTGGTTGGTTTGAAAACAGGGGGGATAAAACAGGCTGTATTTCTGTTGGAAGAAAAGTATATATTTTGAGTTCATCTATAAATTCAACAAATTAATATAGTTAGTTTCAGGGTTCAAGATTTAATCCACAGTTTCATTTAAGATCAACCTTCACACAGAAAATTCTGGCCATACTTATTCCCTGTTCCAATATTTGCCTCCCATGATGGCTATGCCCCAATTTATAGCAGGCAATAGGCTATTTTTATTTCTCCACATAAAAGTCACATGACTTTTTGTTACCATAGTGTTTTATTTACACCTCACAATTATGATACACAATGCTAGAATTGATATATCTTGTCCAAGAACTGTTTGTAACATGTGTAGGTGGTGTTAACTTATTTCTTTCCCAAAATCCTCACTTCATTGCTTTCTCAGGGGTGGCTCTGTAAGTGTAGTGTCATGTATCAGTAATTTTTTTTAAATACCACATTTCTTCTTACACTGGCTACCTTACTTTATTTACTTCTGAAATCACTATTTACAAACTGCAAAGCTGACACAAAGAGCATCGCTGTTGTATTGTAACAATGACAAGATATATAGACACATTTACCTGATTTTTTTTGTTTGCTTTCCTCTTAAAATTTTAGGCATTACCAGACAGAAGGCTTTTAACCCACAAAACATAATATGAAACAAAATTCTGAGGTCTAGAACAATACACTTCTGAGAATATTTCTCTAGGTGCCTGCATGACATATGTCAGGGTGCTTTTCCTCCCAGATAGCTCCCCCTTCCAGGGCATTTATCTTGTCCACGATGCTCCCAGTTTATCATGGAAAGGATTTACACAGCCCTGAAAGGCATCGTTAGTGCATTATTGCTTCTCTGAGCTCACATACAGCATGGAGATGGAAGCAGTAAACCAGGGAGAAGGGAACAATCCTTCACAACAGTCTTTTATGGGGGCAAGCACCGCTCACTGCCAACTCCACCCTAGATCACAGCACGTACTGTTGAACAAATTCAGAAGTGCAAGAACACAACCAGTGAGTGCAGTGCCATACAGCCAGCGTGCTGATTGCTCTAAGTTCCTCTGGAGGGATCTGTAGGTCCCTGTGTTTTCCTGGAGTTTCAGTAGTGATCTCCTGATGTTTTAAATGACTGCATATCCCCTACCTGGCTGAGTCTTTTCCAAGGCAGCAAATACACCATACTTACTTAGCCCTACAACTACATTTCAAGCAGTACATTTTGACATGACTCATTTGATGAGGTTGTTTTGATGTTTCAAAATACCCAAGATAGAAGTAAGTCACTATTTTTCTTTTTTTAAATTTTTCTTCATAATAAAAAAATGTGCAGTACTTTCCCTGATCCCTACTCCATCCTTGAGTGTCACCCTCATTTGAAGTGCCCACACCACTGTTCCACCATATCCTGAGGGTCATTCCAAATGGATGCTGATTCCACCTGCTATCTGGCAATTTTCAAAAGGTAAAAGTTTAATGGGTTGTGTTTCAGATTATACTAAAATGCTTCTAATCTAAAATGACTAGATTAAACTATCACAGCAACATATCAAAATAAACATAGATATTGTTGGGAGTTCTAATCCTGCCTAATACCAGTCAGGGCCTTATATCATAGCCACCATCTAGCTCTTTCAAACACTTTCCCTCTTCCCCAGAATAATTCTGACCATCCTCTGTCAAAATGTACCCATCACTGGCTACAGCTGCTGGGGGCTCAGGGCTCCGATAATATAAGAATCTGATTGGAGCACTTATGAGCATGGCTGGTAGGGAAAGGCAAAGAAGAGATCATTTCTAATCACCAACTGTACATTCTGTAAACATTATACAATTTACTACACACACACACACACACACACAAAGCATGTAAGGTATTATTATACTTATTTTACAGATAAGAAAACCAAAGCCAGACTATTTATAGTTATTCCCATATTCTCTCACCTAATAAATGACAGAGCCTGAATTCAATGTGGTTCTGTCCAATTCGAACATCTGTGTTCTTCGTACCTCATCAAGTGAATTAATCCACTAATATTCTCAAAGAACATTTGCATTTTATTCAAAGCTTTAACATCTTACAGGAGCTGAAAGGGCTCCATAATAAATGCAGGCTGAGAGGAAGAACTGCCGTTCCCCAGAGGGCCGAGATGAACTGCCCGTCAGGCCAGCAGTGAGGGCAGAATATGAACGACCCTCTATCGGCCTCATTTAGATTGCTCTTCAACAAAGTTCCAATCCACGTCCCTCTGGTTCACTCAGGGTTAGAGGACAATGAGGCTGACACTGCTGGCTGACTACCAATAAGCTTTCTTTCTTCTTTCATAAAAAATGCTGGATTTCTTACCTCAGTCCATGGCTGCCCAGAAACAAAAGTAAAGAAAAATAAACTGTTTCTTAGACTCCTCTGCAGTTCTACGGAGCCAGCTATCTATGTTCTGGCTGATAAGGTCCAAGCACAATTGATGTGTCACACCTCCAGGGACCATACTTCAAAGCTGGTTGGCATGTGCCCCTTGTCCCAGCCCTTCCTCCTCCCTGTAGCCTAGACTGTGAACCCGACGGCTAATGCCTGTGCCATCTTCTTGGGTCGCTAACTGCTATCAGAGGAACAGAAGACACAAAAAGTGGATCCACAAGCTGGAGGGACACTAGATTGCTCACAACTTGTAAAACAGGGGCAGCTTAGACTGCCTGCATGCCCCCACACTTCCAAGTCAGAGTGGAGTAAACTTCTAACTTACTTACTCTGGTTCCCTTTTACCACGAGATACATGAAGCCAATCTTTAGTGATAAACACAGGCAGGGTTGAGAGTAGATGTTTCCCAGTCTTGTGAGCCCTGTGAACAATGGTCTAGCCTAAGAAAGAACAATTTGTTCAATAAACACTAGCTTAGAATATGAAG